GCCTCTTTCTGGACGTCGAGCGCGCAGAGGTGCTGGGCCCTCTGTCCCCGGGCCCCCGCGCCGCCGCCGTGGGCCACGTGCCCGTGGACGACGTGTGGTTCACGCTGGACACGCAGTACTTGGTGCTGGAGCTGGGCGAGGCGCTGCGGCCCCGGAGCCGCTACGAGCTGCGGCTCAGCTTCTCCGGCCAGCTGTACCAGGACACCCGGGAGGGGCCCTTCCTCAACGTCTACACCGACCAGGGCGAGCGCAGGTAAGGGCGGCCCCTTCCTGGGCACCCTCCGTCGGGAGCCGCAGGGCGAGCGCCTCCTTCCTCCCCTCTCTGGAAGCCTGCTCGGAACCGGGGCGGCATCTGGCCTCCCCCTGCCCACCCGGCTGGGTCCTGTCGTTGTCCCCGTAGAGGTCGCGGCCTTGTCAGGACTGTGGTTTTCTTCCGACGGTCCCTTCCTTCCCCAGCCCTGCGAACCGGTGTGTGCTGTGGGCAGGTAGAGGCCGGCCGGGACCTGCAGGCTCCCACCTGGGGCTTGTTAGGGAAGCCGCCCTGGGCTCCAGCCGGGGTCGCGGGGCCGAGGGGGCGTCAGAGCCGGGAGCGCGCCGAGCCTGCCCTCCAGGCGGGCCGCTCTGTCCTGCTGCAGGCGTCTGTACGAGCTGCTTGGGCCTCGGTGTGACCCGTCGGGGTCGTGTGTCCCACACCCTCTGGCTGTGCAGGCTCCTCCAGAACTTCGGGCCGCCCTTCGTGCCTTCCTTCCACCCCACTGGGCCCGCCGATCGCTCTGGGGCAGGCCGGCGTCCCGCAGGGCGCTGGGTCTGTCTGCGGCTTCCTCCGCCCGGCGGGGAAATGCAGGCGCGGAGCTGAGCGAGCGCCCTCTGCGTTCCTGAGCCCCGCGGCCGGTGTTCCTTTCCCCTCGCTCGGGGTAGGGTCTCCCGCACAGAGGGTTCCCACCGCTCAAGGGCTGGCCTGTTCCTGGGCCCCGCCACCACCTTTGACCTGCGAAACGCCTGGAAAGGGCTCAGGTGGAAAATAATGGAAAGGCAGTTTCCCTCCCAACCGGCGCTTTCTTCACTCGCTCCGGGGAAGCGTTTGTGGTTTGCACAGTTGCTCGTACTCCGCCCTTCATTATTAGAGAAAACGTTCTCAGATGTCCCCCGACGGAAAGAAAGCCACTAAATTACCCCCTACACCAACTCCTGAGCTAGTTTCAAAATGTTGAGGGTTTTAAATGCATTTAATGAGCTTCCATAGTGGACTTGTGACTTAGTTCTTAAGGACAATGGGGGCTTTCTTTTCTCTGAACTTTGTATGAATGCCTGAAAAACTGTTTTGAAAGTTTCTTATTAGGGTGGTGGGGATTTATGCCCACTGGGGACCTTTCAAAATAACTAGCTCAGACTGCAAGATCTTTCAGAGGAGAAAAGCGGAAACTCTGTCATACATACCTGTGTTTTCTGCCTCGCTCTGTCCATCTTCGTCTGCTCTCCCCCTCTTCCTTCCTGTCCCAGCGAGGTCCAGACAAACTAGCAAACGAGACAGGAAGCCCCTTTCTCCACTGCACCCTCAACCCTATGGGTAACTAGCAGCCATACTTTCAGAATATTAAAACTCAAAACAAAAGCAAAAGACTTTTTTTTTTAGATTTTTGCTATAAAGCCCACGTGCTACCAGAGAGACATCCAGAAGTCACCCCCAGGTGGGATGGCCACACCGCAATCCCCTTTCTTCCATTCTCCTCTCGGAATTTTGGGCGTGCATGTACACATACTGCTGTTTCTAGTAAACGGGCCAGGCCTGGGACGCTAAGGTTGGAGACCATGTGGGAAGCCAGCACCTGAACCTTTATGCCACCTGCTGGCCCCAAGAACAGGTCTTTTTATTTTTTTCTTTTGAGAGTGAGATTTTTGCTATAGGGCATGTGTGCTTGCTGGAGAGACAGAGACAGAAGGCAAGAAATCACCCCCCGGGGCGATGGCCACACCTCAATCCTGTCTCCTCCATTCTCGGGATCCTGGGCGTGCATGCACACAGTCCTGGCATGCGTTTTTAAGCCTCCGGCTCCGGGACTTGAATCATGGTCCGCTCCATGGGACTCCATTGATGTAACCATTACTCTGTCTGCTGGTGCCAAGAACAAGTCTTCATAAAGTCTTACCGATGATCATATGCCAGAATTGTGGCATTCGGGAAGAGCTGTTTCAGGAAGCTGCCCCTTTGGGGGAGCTTCTGAAGCCACACAGAAAGGCACGTGTGGTGAAGAGAGCCCAGCCACGGGAAGCCTGGGTGGGAGGATGCTCTGTGGGGACAGGTGGGGAGCTGGACGGGACCCAGCCTGAGCCTGAGCCACGTGATCAGAGCCTCTTAACCTCCCTGAGTCTGTTGCCTTATTCGTACCAGGCGTGAATGTCAACCTTTAGAGTAATGTGGGGACTCATTGAGGCGAGATTCATTGTGACAGGCACAGCCTGGGAGGAGGAGCTGCATCAGGTCATATCGTCCTTGTTAGGACAGCCTCCTTGTTGTGTAAACATGGAAACTGCCAAGTCTGATGTGTATATATATGAGAAATATATATATATATATATAT